CTGTTGATGGGGAGGGGTGTGGCGTACCGCAAAACGGACGAAACGGACTTGTGTTGGAGCGCTACGGTCGAAAACGGGGTCCTGTTCATCGGGAGGGGTGTGGCGTACCGCAAAACAGGACTCCACGGGATATTGTTCATCTCCACCGTCGACCTCCTCCAGCCTCCACGGGCTACCGTCGACCTCCTCCAGCCTCCACGGGCTCCTGTTCATCCAGCCTCCACCGCGCGCTACTCCACCGGCTACTGTTCAACACTTCAACCACCCCTCCACGGGCACCCCTCCACCGTCTACTGTTCATCCAGCCCTCCACACCATGGGGTCCTGTTCAACCACCCCTCCATGGGTACCCCTCCACTGTCTACTGTTCATCCAGCCCTCCACACCACGAGTCCTGTTCATCCAGAGGCAACGCCACCATTCACTGTTCATCCAAACCCCACCGCAACGCTCACTGTTCATCCAATCGATCGGCTTCAGTTAGCAGCAGTAGCGAAGGAATCGCTCGATAGGTTTCAGTTAACAGCCATCGATCGATCGCTCGGGTTCAGTAACGCGTAGCCTGCAGTGCAATCGCTTGGGTTCAGTAACGCGTAGCCTGCAGTGCAATCGCTCGGGTTCAGTTAGAGCCCAATGCCTCGCTTGGGTTCAGTTAGAGCCAACGCCTCGCACACACGCGTGTACCTTACGAGAGAAACGTGCATTGCTCAGCCCCCGACCTCCCACCGTAATCGGGAACTCCCCTAAATTTTCCTCCCCCTCGCTTCTACCACAGTTTTTTCCGTCATGGACGGCCCAAAGAATGTCATGCAGCTGCGTCTCCGGCCCGCCCAGGACGAAAAGCCTATTTTCTGTCATGATTTTTTGTCATAGAAGTAGGAGCCCACCACATCTATGATAATACCAGGTTTTGTCATAATTATCGTCAAAGAAGTGTCATATGTATGACAGAATTTTTTTTCGTTCGGCCCAAAATGTCACAGATGTGTCTTTTTTTAGTGGGAGTAGCAATCAACCATATGAGCTCACAGATCAGAGCACCAATCAACCATGCATCTACATCAAACCCTAACTGCAGCTCAGATCTAGCTAGAAGGAACAGAGAGAAAGGAGGGTTGAACTCACAAAGGCCATGGCTGCAGCTCGAGGACGAGGGGGCAACGGTCGTAGAAGATCACCGCCGGTCGGTGAAGGACCGCTGGCCGATGAGGATGCGCCGCTTACCTGCTCGTCGGTGCCGATGCGCGTCGGCCGGGAAGCTCGAGAGGGGGGAGAATGGTGGCGGGAGTTTGGGCGGTGATGGAAGGGGCTAAATAGGGCGGACTCGACAGGGGGGTGAGCCGAAATCCTCCTGCCGATTTTTCGGCGACGCGGGCGAGCTCGCGCCATCTCCCTGGTCGCACAAGGAGAGAAGCGTGTCGCCCTCCCCTGCGTCGCCCGAGCCAGGCTCGCGAGCTACTGCTGATTCAGGCGTTTCCCCTAGGCCTGGCCTGGAGCTGCTTTAAGTTTCGTGTCATGCGGGCCGCACAGTAAACAAAGGCAACCAAACGATCCTCTTTCATCCCGTGCGGGCCAGGCTGAGCCATATGCAGGCAACCAAACATGCCCTAATTGGGTTGGCCCATTTGTAGTACTGCTGAGGCAATATGAGCTTCTTCTCTGACGAGCACCTCAATGGCGTTGGACATTGGTCACAACCGTTAATTTTGGTGTGTGCAGGGATCCTTATGGACCTGGCACGACACAACCCGTTTATAAATGGGTCGTGTCGTGCTGGCATGCACGCCGCACTTTCAGGCCCAAGTAAGACACATTAGGTAAGCGTGCCAGCCCATGACCTGTTTATCCGTTATGGGGTGCCTGCTTGCCAATTTGGACTGTTGTTAGGCTTTTGGGCTGTTTTTTTTGCTTATATATATATAAAATAATGCTGAAAGAAATCGAAATCACTAGTCAAGGAGTACTCCTTGCGGAGATCACTCCAACTTCCCCAGGTTGCGACAAGTGGCGCGCTGCATGTGCGCCACTTGTCGCAACCTGGGAGTTTTCTTTTTTTCGTAGATCCGTTTATTCAAACTGTTTTATCTCTTAAACCGTGCGTCCAAATTTCGAACCGTTTTTGCTGTTGGATTCCTCGCGTCGAGATCTTCAAAACTAGATCCCATGTTGATAGGTTTTGACGAACTTTTTTTTCACGAAAAAACCGGACGAAAAAACCAAACCGGGAGCATGGTTTTTTTCCCTTTCGGAAAGAGGCACGACCATGACTCTCGCGGAAGCAAAACCGTGCCTCTCGCGAAAGAAAAATAAATAGAAAACGCATTTTTTTTGTTTCCGAGGAGGCACGGCCATGACTCTCGCAAAAGCACAATTGTGCCTCTCGCGGAAGCAAAACCGTGCCTCTCACGAAAAAAATAAAAAACGTGTTTTTTTTGTTTCCAAGTGGCACGGCCGTGACTCTCGCAAAAGCACAACCGTGCCTCTCGCGGAAGCAAAACCGTGCCTCTCGCGAATGAAAAAAAAACAGAAAAAGCGTTTTTTTTCGTTTCCAAGAGGCATGGCCGTGCCTCTCGCGAAAAAAAGGTTTTTTGCGCAAATTTTTTTTTCTAATTTTTTTTATCAAAAAGCTGGGGAAGACCGGCGAAAAACCAAAACGTCAAAAAAAACCCAAAAAAACCCGGTTAAAAAGCCGAAAACGCGTGCAAAAAAATAAAATAAAATAAAATCTGGAGGGAGTGCCCAGAGCACGACATGTGGCGAATGACTAAGAACGCACCAAATGGCACTGATCGTTGCGAGACTCCCAAAGGAGCGCTCGTTAATTAGTTGCTCCCGAAAGAAATAAGATAAACTAAACGTGTCATGCCAGGCGGACACGCGGGCCAGTGCCTGGGGCGCAGCCCGTTTAGCCATGTGCCAGTCCGGGCCCATGACATGGCGGGCATGGCGTGCTAATGAGCCGGCACGTCAAGGACGGCCCAACTGACCAGGTTTGCTCCCACCGTCCACGGAGGCACAGACTCCTCCGCTCCGGGTTTCCTTGTCTTGTCCACACAGTCCACACTAACTAGAACCGCCGCGCACTGCCGCTCTCTCTCGCGTATCGACCAAAGAGCAACCCGACGGCCGTGGTGATGGAGGCGATGGGGAAGCAGCAGAGGGAGGAGGTGCTCCTCCGCGCCGCCTCCGACGGCAACCTCCGACTCCTCAAGAGTAACCCCGCCTCCTGCTCTTCCTTCTTAGGGTTTGATGATATTAGTAGCTCGACGGATTAGTGCCTGATCTGGCTCCCAATACTCGCATTGCGTGCGTGCGAGAAGAGATGGCGCGCTGGATGGGGTCAGGGGGCCAAGGCGAGGCCGCCGTACTTGCGGCGGTGGAGGACGGCGAAGGGGGTCGCCCGCTGCACCTGGCGGCCGGGGCGGGCCGGGTCGAGGTCTGCAGGTACCTCGTCGAGGACCTCCGCCTCGATGTCAATCAACTCAACTGTCAAGGTGACGCACCCTTCCCTGCTTCCCTAGCCTTCGAGTCAATTTAAAGAGAGAGAACTTTAATAATTAATTTGTTACTACCATGTGAAATTTCCCTTTTAGGCTTCAAATTTGGTACATGTTGTGCACATCTGTAAATTGTGCTCAGGTCATAAGTGGAGTTAAGATATCCAATATATGCACACAGCCATGCACCATACCACACAAATCGATTTTCTTCGGATATGTTATACTCTTATATGGGCAAAGTGCTATTGGTGGACTGTATGTATCAAAAGTTTCTCCTCTGTCTGTCCTCGTGCAAATTTGAAACAGTAAACATTGTGTCAGGTCGAAAGACATTTGATACTGCATTAGGGGTTAGTTAAATTCTCTTTGGACATTTGGTTCTTTTGTCTATGACTGACCGATGCCTTGTCGATGTGAACCTTTTTTGTGTTGAGGGCAGGATTGGTGTGAATTTGTTGAGCTCCTCGTGTTTATCTTTCCGGTTGTTGCAGGTCACACGCCACTGTACCTTTCTGCCTATTTTGGGAGAGCTGCTGCTGCAACATATCTTCTTGATCATGGTGCCGATCCACTAGCTAGCAAACTACGGTCACCTCTTTATGGCGCTGCAATGCAAGGTCTCTCTCTTTATCAACAAGCTAGTATGCTACTTATTTACCCTATGTGTCAGTGCATACATAGTCAATTTGTTTTTTTGCCTTAGAAAGCCACATCATTGGATAAAAGCAGCATTAGACTCTGAAAAACATTTGATAGATCTAGAAGAGCAAGAAGAACTGGAAAGGGATTCGGGAGACGTGATTTTCTTCTTTGATTCTGTCAACTATTTGTGGAAATGGGCATGGCTAACCTAAATTATCAAAATATCTTTGATACCCAGTTACCCACATGCTATATCTTTTTTTATCTTAAATTTTGATACCATCTATCCCCATTCCATCACAAACCATGCATTGGAATGGATGAAAATTTTATATCCCACCTATAACCCGCATCCTCATATCTCTCTATTCAGTACCTTACTATTCATATATCCCGATATTTCTGCCCAGTGAACAGCCCGATCTGATGCATAAGATGATCCCTTGTAGATTTTCCGGGGTTTATTTTTCCTACATGTTTGATAGTTGTCCTGAGCAGGTTCCTCAATTTGTGCACTACATTTGTAAGCTTTGTACTACAACAGCAACAACAAAGCCTTTAGTCTCAAACAAGTTGGGTTAGGCTAGAGGTGAAACCCATAAGATCTCGCGATCAACTCATGGTTCTGGCACATGGATAGCCACGCACCCTTGTCCATGGCTAGTTCTTTGGTGATACTCCAATCCTTCAGATCTCTCTTTACGGACTCCTCCCATGTCAAATTCGGTCTACCCCGACCTCTCTTGACATTATCCGCACGCTTTAGCCGTCCGCTATGCACTGGGGCTTCTGGAGGCATGCGTTGAATATGTCCAAACCATCTCAAAAGATGTTGGACAAGCTTCTCTTCAATTGGTGCTACACCAACTCTATCTCGTATATCATCATTCCGGACTCGATCCTTCCTCGTGTGACCACATATCCATCTCAACATGCGCATCTCCGCCACACCTAACTGTTGAACATGTCGCCTTTTAGTCGGCCAACACTCAGCACCATACAACATTGCGAGTCGAACAACCGTCCTGTAGAACTTGCCTTTTAGCTTTTGTGGCACTCTCTTGTCACAGAGAATGCCAAAAGCTTGGCGCCACTTCATCCATCCGGCTTTGATTCGATGGTTCACATCTTCATCAATACCCCCATCCTTCTGCAGCATTGACCCCAAATATTGAAAGGTGTCCTTCTGAGGCACCACCTGCCCATCAAGGCTAACCTCCTCCTCACACCTAGTAGTACTGAAACCGCACCTCATGTACTCGGTTTTAGTTCTACTAAGCCTAAAACCTTTTGATTCCAAGGTTTGTCTCCATAACTCAACTTCCTATTGACCCTCGTCCGACTATCGTCAACTAGCACCACATCATCTGCAAAGAGCATACACCATGGGATATCTCCTTGTATATCCCTTGTGACCTCATCCATCACCAAGGCAAAAAGATAAGGGCTCAAAGTTGACCCCTGATGTAGTCCTATCTTAATCGGGAAGTCATCGGTGTCGACATCACTTGTCCGAACACTTGTCACAACATTATCGTATATGTCCTTGATGAGGGTGATGTATTTTGCTGGAACTTTATGTTTCTCCAAGGCCCACCACATGACATTCCACGGTATCTTATCATAGGCCTTCTCCAAGTCAATGAACACTATATGCAAGTCCTTTTGTTCCATGTATCTCTCCATAAGTTGTCGTACCAAGAAAATGGATTCCATGATCGACCTCCCAGGCATGAAACCGAACTGATTTTTGGTCACGCTTATCGTTCTTCTTAAGCGGTGCTCAATGACTCTCTCCCATAGCTTCATTGTGTGGCTCATCAGCTTAATTCCACGGTAATTAGTACAACTCTGAACATCCCCCTTGTTCTTGAAGATTGGTACTAATATACTTCGTCTCCGTTCTTCTGGCATCTTGTTTGCCCGGAAAATGAGGTTGAAAAGCTTGGTTAGCCATACAATCGCCGCCCCTAAGGCCTTTCCACACCTCAATGGGGATACAATCAGGGCCCATCGCCTTGCCTCCTTTCATCCTTTTTAAAGCCTCTTTGACCTCAGACTCCTGGATTTGCCGCACAAAACGCATGCTGGTCTCATTAAAGGAGTCATCCAGTTCAATGGTTGAACTCTCATTCTCCCCATTGAACAACTCATCGAAGTACTCCTGCCATCTATGCTTAATCTCCTTGTCCTTCACCAGGGGTTGGTATGCTCTGTCCTTTATGCATTTGACTTGGCCAACATCCCTCGTCTTCCTCTCTCGGATCTTGGCCATCTTATAGATGTCCCTTTGGCCTTCCTTCGTGGCTAACAGTTGGTAGAGGTCCTCATATGCCCGACCCCTTGCTTCACTGACAGCTTGCTTTTTTGCGGCCTTCTTCGCCATCTTGTACTTCTCTATGTTGCCTGCACTCCTATCCAGGTATAGGCGTCTGAAACAATCTTTCTTCTCCTTAATCGCCTTCTGGACATCATCATTCCACCACCAGGTATTCTTAGCTTCGCTTCTCCTTCCTCCGGACACTCCAAACTCCTCCGAGGCCACCTTACGAATGCAAGTCGCCATCTTCATCCACACATTGTCCACATCCCCTCCTTCCTCCCAAGGGCCCTACTTAATGACCCTGTCCTTGAACGCCTGAGCTACCTCCCCTTGAGCTTCCACCACTTCATTCTAGCGACTTTGGCATGCTTATCCCGCTGGACACGAATCCGAAAGCAAAAGTCAACAACCACCTGCTTATGCTGAGGGACAACACTCTCTCCAGGTATCATCTTACAATCTAGGTACACACACCTATCTTCTCTTCTCGAGAGGATGAAATCAATCTGGCTAGAGTGTTGACCACTGCTAAAAGTCGCCAGATGTGATTCTCTCTTTTAAAGAGGGTGTTAGCTACGATCATGTCGTAGGCTAGATCAAAGCTTAAGACATCGTCTCCTTGATTCTTGATGCCATAGCCAAAGCCCCCATGCACCCCTTCAAAATCTGTGTTAGATGTACCTACGTGGCCATTGAGATCACCTCCTATGAAGAGCTTCTCGCCAACCGATACATCCTAACCATGTTCTCCAGGCCTTCCCAGAACTCCCTCTTGGTGTTCTCATTGTGGCCTACTTGTAGCGCGTACACGCTAATAACATTGAGAATTAAGTCCCCAACTACCAACTTTACTAGGATAATCCGATCCCCACGTTTCTTTGCGTCTACCACTCCATACTTGAGGCTCTTGTTGATCAAGATGCCTGCGCCATTTCAGTTTGCAGTCGTCCCCGTGTACCACAGCTTGAAGCCGGTATCCTCCACCTTCTTCGCCTTCTGTCCCCTCCATTTGGTTTCTTGGACGCAAAGGATATCAACACCTTTCCTCGCCGCTGCTTCAACTAGATCCTGAAGCTTCCCTGTCAGAGACCATACGTTCCAGCTACCTAAGCGGATCCTCCTAGGCTTGGCTAGCTTCCTTACCCTTCGCACTCGTCGAGTCAAATGCAAAGACCCTTGCTCATTTTTCACTACATCCGGGCGCCGATGTAGCGTGCCACTAAGGATGCGACGACCCGATCCTCGCTCACTTGCCATCGTATCCAGATCAAGATACGGCGCGCCACCGCCCGGGAGGGAGGGGGTGACGGCTCGGCCCTTGCCCATTTGACACCACACCCGGGTTTCGGTGTGGCGCATCGCCGAGAGGGTTATGCCCCAACAAAAATCTTTTCGGTTTCATCTCCATAAGAGTGGCTGAGTTTTTACGTTGGCTCGCTAAGCCTATCACAACCCTCCTCCTTTACCCGGGCTTGGGACCGGCTATGTTGAGACAACATAGGCGGAGTTATTTGTAAGCTTTAAACTAATGTATCAATTTAAGATGGTAACGGGGTGGCAATTATGGCGATACAATAGGCTTTATAGGCAAGTAGCCAAAAGAAACAAGTGCTTTCTTTCTTTTGCGCAAGGTTATTTCCGAATGTTGGAGTTTTTGGATAAATTGCGAAAGCCAGGACTTGAACTCAGGACCTTAGGCTCCGATACCATGTCAAGCTTCATGCAGTACCCAACGGGCAACAACAATTTTTTGATACATTGCAAAGGTCGGGACTTGAACTCAAGACCTTAGGCTCTGGTACAATGTCAAGCTTCATGCACTAGCCAATGCAACCTAAAGTCCAAACTAATGGAAAGGGCTAGGCAATCCACATATAATACTTCAACAACAATTTCTCCCAAAACAATGTAACAAATTCTCACCTCTAAATACTAAGTTGCAAAAGTACATGATTCCTCTCTGTTAGGAAAGCAACTTATCTCTATTGAAGGCCCAAGGGGCATATATATTACACAAGACTTGAGGTGCAAGGAAAGTAAACATAGTCTAATAAGGACTCTTAGACCAATACTAATACTTCCTAACCCCCCCCCCCTCCCCTCTCAAATGCAAAGCGTATGCAATAGCATTGCATTTGAAGAAGTTTAACACTAGAAGAAGAAAGACAATAATCCAAATCTGCATCTTGAGTGTCGTCGTAGCATGAAGAGTCTTCAAAACCTATCGAGTCGCCAAACGGGATAACGAAGAAATGGCACATCAGAGGAAGACACCACATCACTTGAAGATACAAGAGAAGTATCAAGAGAAGATGGCACATCAAGAGAATGAAGCATTACTTAAAGAATCATGGCCCATAGGCGAAAGAAGCTCGGCGGCAAGATAATGGGCTTGGATCAACAATGCAAAGGAGGCCACGAAAATCCTATTGAGAGGACAATGACCAGGAAAAGGCTGACGGACAAAAGTTTGGTCGACTCACATGGCATAAGAAACACAAAATATCAATGAATTTGGTGGACGCAGTGGAAAACAAAGAAAAATAGAAAACACGTAGTATGGTAGATGCAATCAACACAACCTGCAAAAGACGCCGGAAGAGACGATGGCATAGGTGGACGAGCATCAAGCACAGAGCCGACGCATGTGCTAGATGGGGCCAATATAGGAAACACCATCGAGAATCAGCGGGCAGTGTGGGAGATGCATACCCGACAAGAACATCATGCCTCTTTTTTTGAGTAAGGAAACAAGCTGGGTCAAACCAGGAGAGAAGCACGGAGAGCAGTGGACAGCCTCGGCCTTGGAAACTTGGGACGGCAGCGGCAGCAGCAGTAGTAGACAAGCAGCGCACTAGCAGCGACTCCAACTCCAAAGAGATCCTAGCGCGAGACCAAGTTGCAGGGCGAAGCTAAAAGGCCGAGTAGTAGTAGCAGCAGGTCCAAGCAAGAAGCAGAGCCACACACGGCTGCACTGTGGGAGGAGAACAGCCGTGGAAGACCACGGTACTTGGTGGCGCGCGAAAAAGAGCATTGGCGGACTGCCCGCGTTGGCGCTGATGGACGGGAGGAGCAGCACGGCGCCTTTGAGGTGGAGTCATCGTGCCTGGGTGGAGGCGCGGATCTGGAGTCGTGGGAGCGGTCGTCGATGAACAACACGTGCGGCCGTTGAGGACCCCAATCCAGAGGCGATGCATGGCTGCCCAGCAGCGACCATGTAGAGGCCCAACGGCGCATCGACACAATGGGCCCAGGTTGATGCAGGGGACGGCTGGGCTGAATTCCGCTGAGGTCGAAGGAGACGGCCATCACCTGGTTGGAGCGAAAGCAGAGGAAATCTTTCGTGGGAGATCCATGAGAAGTCACGAAACAAGCACAAAGCACAAGCGACGTGCGGATCATCACAGACCGGAAAAAAAATCGATCGGGAGAGAGGACGAGTTGCGGCGTCTGGGGGAGACCTAAACCTAGGCTCTAATACCATGTTAGGAAAGCAACTTATCTCTATTGAAGGCTCAAGGGGCATATATATATATATATTACACAAGACTTGAGGTGCAAGGAAAGTAAACATAGTCTAATAAGGACTCTTAGACCAATACTAATACTTCCTAACACTCTCATCCTGCAATTTATCACCAAATGTTTCAAACTTGTAGTTTGCTTTGTAAAATTTGGAAATGCAGTCAGAGTTCCAAACTTCCAGTGAAGTTCAATGAAAAAAGAAAATAATACTCTATTGGTTAGTATTATGCGGGAATAAGGCCTTGCAGCTGCAGGTTAGCAGGTGCAGTGATCCTACCGGTGGTAGGAGACACCGAATCATCCTTAAGAGGTAACTGGATAAACCGTTTTCGTAAGGGTTTTGCTAATTCTCGGTCAGTGCGAGTTTAGCCTTAGGATATCTTTTTTGTTTTATCTGGTTATGAAATCAGTTTTGATTTGTCCCATTAGATGAAATCAATGCCCCAGATCATCGACAGAAAAGTAAGCATTTCTTGGTCAACTGGTCCAAATCAGGCCCATTCCTTTGAACTAGTCATTAGCTTTCTTTTGAGAAGATTAGTCTTGCTTTTGTCAACATTTGTTTGGAAGCCTCTGTCTCTATTTGAACAGACTTGGTAAGGAATAAAGTAGGTGAGAAACACACCGTCTTAGCGACCGACAGTTGACTACAATAACACCAGTACACCACTCTTGGCAAGTGTGATGCTTGATGTTTCTGTTTTAGCATATCTTGCCATATGCTTTTTATGTGATGTCCATCAAACAAAGCTGTCGTATATATGATTTGGATGATGGCTGAAGAAACATTACCGAGTGTGTGGAGAATAACTTTGAGGTTTGGAATTTTAAAATTGGATACCCCATGTTATCCAAGGTGTTGGTTAATCTTAGAAGCTCAACGTTGACGACTTTTTATATTTCTAAGGTTTAGATAAACAAGTAATGGAAGTTTAAATAGTCCCAATCCGATCACTTTCCAAAACCTGGTCCTCAATGGGATATGTGGTGACCAAAAAGGTTTACTGGGCAGTTCATGATCACAAAACTGAAAACTGGTGCAGAGTTCATTTCTAATGCAGATGTAAAGTCACATGTTGGAAAATATTCTTGTCTCATTTTTTTTTTAAACTTCATTTTCCAGGGCATTGTGAAATGTTAGAAATGCTGCTTTCAAGAGGACTCGATGTGGATTTAAATTCTGTACAAGGGACGGCATTGCATGCAGCTGCTTGTTATAAACAACATGGCATGATGAAGATTTTGTTGGAGCACCATGCCGATGTAAGACCCTGTTTCTTGGTTCTCTCCTCTGCAGTGCAAAAGAAAACTCTGGAACGGAATATCTTGTGGCCAGTGGTACTCGTGCTCCATCTGTATATTCTATTTGGGACTATAATGCACTGGAACGGAAAGTCTCGTCGCCTTTGATACTTGTGCTCCATCTGAACAATGGTTTGTGCTGTATAGAAAGCAACAGAAATTCATCATGGACAGTAATTAGTTATCCTAAAGTGAAACGTGCTCACTTCCCAGAAGCCAAGTACATGTTGTGTCTAATTTCTATATAAATATATTTCTTTCTGTTCCTTCAGAAATACCAATATATTTCACACACCACAAGCTGATTTTATTTCTCTGTTGGCGTATCTCAAAAGAAACTCTTTATTGGCCCCTCTTTTTTTGCCAAGTGTAAGTGATCGATTCTTCCACTTTTTGCAGCCTAACAAGGTTTGCTATCTTAATAATACCCCGTTGAGTTTGGCCATGCGGCAGCGGGACATGTCTACAGAGTTGTTGGAATGTGCCAAGCTACTCATAAAGGCTAGTACTCTTTCTTCATATGGAGCTTTCTTAAAGTTTTCTCTTAAGGCACAGCTTCATTTCCTTTGTGTATATGTTTTCCGTGACTGACATATCAAACATTAAGTCAAACAAATGATCAAATAATATTCATTTGCACAGGCTGGTGCTGATGTGAATTTTATTGACCTTGATGGTGATAGTTACGTGACAGTGGCAGCGAAGTTCGGCTATCCTGGCATCATGAAGTGCTTATTAGATGCTGGTGCTAACCCCGATATTCCAGATGAAGTGCGTTTTATTCATTTTCTTCATTTTCTGTTGTCACTTATCATCATCTACTTTTCATGCGTACACTGTTAGTTAGCTGAACATTGTTCCCTTGTTTCTCTTTGAGGTCATAGAATCTTGACAGATTAGGTTAATCTTCTTACGAACACTTTTTTTGATGCCAGGAATAGGCTTGCATGAGGGGAAACACTATGTTTTTAGCAAAACTTACAACATCAAATACATATTATTTCAACTTTCTTACCTTATATTATCATTCAACCTGAAAGGTTGTGACGCCTATGATCAGTACAGATCTTCTGCTACTTCAGTTCTTTCGGGAGTAACTTTCTAAGTGGTGGCTGTGGGACGACTCCTGTCTTGCTCCCGGGCAAGCGAGCCGGGACTACCTCTAGCCACCGCCACTAGCATAGCCCAACAGCGCTCTTCCTTGCTGCCGTCGCCGCCCAACCCATCTCCTCCCTCAGCAACAATGCCGCCGCACAAGAACACAACCTACTGGCTGAACACGGCGGCGGAGCCGAACGTCCCATCACTTACGCTGCGCAACCGCGGGGCGAACTCTTCCCACTGTGCACTAGCCATGGTAGCCGTCGGCTCCTCCTGCGGCGCCAGCGGATCTGGCGGGCACGGGGGATACAACGCATCCCGTGATCCAGGCCCCACGTCCCGGTGAAGGAGGAGAAAGCCACCCCCGTCAGCCTAGCTGGCCCCCTTGTCTGGGTGAACGACATCGTCCCCTTCGCGATCCAGCTGGAGCACGAGGACCCGATCCATGCCGTGCTCCAGCTCACCACCGTCGAGGCTTGCAACAGAGGCGCGCATCGTCTGTGAGTACGACACCGCACTCACCGACAAGGAGGAGCAGTCGTGAGTCCGGCCCCTACGCCTACTTCCAGGATCTCTCGTCCGAGGAGGACGTGGAGGACGACGACGAGGGTGACAACTAGACTGCGCCGGCCACCGAGTAGTTCAGGTAGTCTAGGTAGCAATGTCGCTCGAATAGCGACGTTGCTTATTTTGAAAATGTCGTTAAATGACATTTGTAGTCGCTAATTTTATGTAAGGCGACACATTTTGGCCACTAGTATAGTTTCTATTAATTTGTCATGTGTTTGCTATGTCCAAGTTGAGCTTAAATTGCCCCTACATTTTTGAGGAAAATGACAAAAAAAAGAGCAAATAAAATGAGGAGATATGGAGGCCGCATTATGGAGACTCTGTGTTTGCGCACACCTGCTGTGGCCTCCATATCCATATGGAGCGCGCTCCATGTGGCGGATGGCGACCGCTCTGCTAGAGTTGCTATTATATCACCGGAATTGTTGCCATAAATTTGCTTGTGTCCAGGTCATACCAAAGTAGGGTGTACAAATCTATTAAGATGTAGTTATGTATGGTCATTTCTCTCACATTTATTTTGGTGTACAAATCTCTAGTCCTGGCTGGTTTCGTTTTTTTTTCCTTCCATGTATATTTTGGCGTTCATGTCATCTTCATCCTATTCTATTTTGAAAAGCTTATGCAATACAAGCATATTAGTTGAAGCTTTCTGTTATTAATGTTACTGTACTTAATGTAACCTTTGCCTTACAAATTTCGTTAGGAAGGATGATATTGTTCCAGCATATTTGTCCTTGCATAGTGATTCTCTTGAAGTCTATCCAGCCATTTGGGTTTGAGATGTTAGACTGTGATTCCTCATTATTAATGATGGAAGTCTTCCAACTACATTGTGTATTTATATTTGGTATTTACATTTGCAGTATGGTAGAACACCAGTTGAATTTGCTGCCTCTAACGGCAGTAGGGATATGGTTGAAATGTTATTCCCTTTAACTTCTCCTATTTCAACGCTGCCGGACTGGAGTATTGATGGAATCATTTCTCATGTGAAACACTATGGTTTGAAGCCGAGGGTATGTGTTTCCTTCTGTGCTCACTTGCAGTTCTATATGTTATTTATCATCACCCTGTAGTTCTGTTCTTTTGCAGTTCTGCCTATCATTTAGAGTAGACATAGTTTTAATTGATGATTAATTTGAACTCCATTGTGCAAACAAAACATTCATGAAAATTTTACTTTTGGTGCATTACATCACTATTAGCAAACTTCTAGTCTTTGTGTATGACCGTACGGTGAAATATTAATGTGCTAGACTTAACAAGTTATCTTGGATGATATTGTGCCAATCCCTGCAACTCCGTAGTCAGGACAGCAGATTTTATTACGAATTATGATACACCCTGCAACACTGCAGTACAGCACATTTTTCTAGTTTTATACAATTATTAGGCGATATAGGCTGAGATTTTCAAATTTGTACGCTTTCCATGTTTTACATTACAGGCTAGTTGTACATATTTGTTCCAACCACATTTTTTTTGTTGTGATCAGGATAAACAAAAGTGTGCGAAGAGAAGAACTGAACTGAAACAGAAAGCTTTAAAGGCTTTTAAGGAAGAGGAATATTTTATAGCAGCACTGCTGTATAGTTGTGTAAGTCACTAGGGCCCATTTTTATTGCCTGAAGGAGTGACGGGTGTTTTTTATATTTGTAAACTGTTAATTGGTCCACACTATATTTTTTGTTCACACCGAAAATAAGGTCTACAAAGGTTCATGTTTTGAAATGTATGTGCTTGTCCAATACATTTGCTGGTTTCATGTGTACTGGGATCACTATATCGATCAGAATAACACTATCTGAGCGTCATCCTCATTGATTGATTTATTGTCTTGGAGTACTCTGTTTTAGGTATTGCTAAAAGCTGCATGTGATTGATGTGTTGTAGGCAATAACACTTGACCCGAGTCCAGATGAATATGCAACCCTATTGGCAAATAGGAGTCTCTGCTGTTTGCGCACCAAGAACGGAAGAGCTGCTCTCCCTGATGCTACCATGTGCAGAAGGGTGCGACCTTTTTGGCCAAAAGCCTGCTATCGAGAAGGGTCAGCTTTTATGTTATTGAAGGTAAAAAGAACACAGTAGTTTTCAAGAATCGTGATCATGATCATAGAAGAACTGATCATCTTCTGTTGTGTACTTGTAGGACTATGAGAAAGCATGCAAGGCTTTTGCGGATGGCTTGAAGCTTGACCCTACAAATGGTGATCTTGCAAATGCTTTAAGGTAACTGGTCCATTTTTTCATGATGATGATGTGTAAGGGTTACATGCTGCAGTCCCCTGCTTCATAAGTTAAGTGAAGGATAAATGGTATCTTGAGAGACAATTATTTGTGTGCATGGAAGATGGTCTCCATCTCTAGAGGAATACGATTTAATCGCGGAAAGAGGAATATTACAGGGAAGATGCTTCACTCAAGTGTGTCAGAGTTTTTTTTTTCTCCTTGAGCTGGAGCGATATACTCGCGGAAAGAGCACCTAGTGTTGATCTGCGTATTATTGTGATTGATCTTCAGGGCAAGTTGTACACAGATTCCTGAGAATGCTCATGTTCGTAATATTTTGTTCGCAGGGAAGCCCAAGAAGCTGCGAAGGATGCTCGTCGCCCTGAAAATTGACTGATGTGTCAAACCTTACATGCAGAATCTGAGGCTCTGTTTTGTTGCTAAGCACCTTTTGTCCATCCTGAAAACTTCTGCCAAGAATATCCCGTGGTCGTTTAAGACTTCCGTTGCACCCATCGTTTGTAAATATAACTGGGGATGAACTCGCTGACCATAGTATCTTCATTCCAGTGCATGTGTTGACAAACTTTATCGTCACAGAACGTACGGCATAGTCCGGTCACCGAGAAGCGCTGGAGGCGGAGCAGTATGTAATTGGCTCATTAATTCTTCCTTCCCCTTACCTTCGCGGGAAGTGGTAAATGATGAAATTTGGACTTGAACAACCTTAGTCTCAGGTTGTCTAAAGGTTGGTGAATTGAGCAAAAGATCCAGCGAACTGTTTATTTTATTGCCTTGTGTGATTTTTTTTCAGTGTTTCTTTTTATTATTTGTTTGGTGTTTTCGTTGGATTTAAATTCATATAAATTCCTCTAGGTATTCTCCTACAATCCCCTGGTTCAAATCTTTCCTATGTCATGTCGGTAGAGCCCATAAATATTTTTACTACAATCTATTTTGGCCAAAAAGCAAATGAGCCTTTTTTATTTTCCAAAACCCCCTAAAATAGAGGTTTGAACTAAAAGTATTTATTTTTTAAAGAAATAGTTTATTAAAAATCATTTCTGAGGTCTACTATATGCAAGACCACTCCCTTCAAAAATATTATTTTGAATAGTATGTAAAATGCATTATTTCTTTCTTTTTCAAAGGGCAAAAATGATAATTATATAGGGAAATATTTTTCATTTTTTTGAAAAATCCCCAAAATTGAAGCAAGCCATATATTGATGTTCTACACCTCATATCTGAGTCTCACCACATGGTCATATTCAAAATATTTCTCAAACAACTTTTGTTCAAACTTTGTATTTCAAGTTTGCTCCATAAAAAATGTTTGCAAACTCATGAACTAATTCCTACAGCTTCCCCTCTTCGCTCTGTAGTCCACTATACCTTTTACGAGCGTTGAACAGTGCATGTTTTGAGCACAACCTCCTCTTTTCTTCTCTGTCCAGAATTGGCATCCAATGCCTTGACATTGCACCCAGTCAAACCTCCTCTCTGACCCATCTCATTTTCAGTGGACCCTTGAACCCTCCAAACATCACCTTCGCATCTCCATCTTTTCTCTCTCTTTCTCGCCATTTCCACCTTGGACGAGCTCTGGTGCCAAGGGCATGCATAAGGGAGAACGACTGGCCGGGCCCTTTGGTACTATAGCGCGAGATACTGTAGGGGCGGTTCACTATAGCACGCGGTTCAAAAACTTGAAACATTTTCGATTTTCAATAAACTACAAACATTTTTTCAAAAGTTGAGCAACTTTTCTGAAAATTGTGAACAATTTTTTAATGCAAACACCTTTTGAAATTCCAATTTTTTTTTGAAATTTCGAACGTTCTGAAATTTGTGTACTTTTTTTTGAAATTGTGAATACTTTTTTCAAATGCAGACATTATTTGAAATTGTTAACATTTACTAAAAATGTAAGTTAAATGTTGAAAAAACACTAACAATTTTGAAATCCCAGATATTTTTTAAAAGAACACGAACATTGCTTGAATTTGTGAACATTTTTTTAGAAACAAGAAAAAAATTGAATTTTTTGAAAAAGAACAATAAACTTGAGAAAAGGAAAATAAAAAAACTAATGAAAACCAGAAAAATAAACAAAAAACTGGAAAACCGGTAAGGAAAAACAACAGAAAAAGGAGAACCAGTTCAGGACCAAAACCAGTCAGCAACTTTTTTCTTTTGAGGGGTACCGGTCAGCAACTAAGGTCGTGTACTAAGTTCTCTTCTACAACTGGGCCGGCCCATCTTGTTCTATCGGTCTATGCGAAACAGCGGGAATTTGCCGCATAATGCAACAAATAGGAAATACTGATTCTCTTAGCTACTTTCATGTAGGTATATATTTAGTTGATATGAACGAGAGCAACTAATTGAGGAGCACTCCTTCGGGAGCCTCTCGGCCGCCACCATGTGTTGCGATCTACGCACTCTCTTCGGCTTTTATTTTTTAGTTTTTTTGGCACGTGTTTTCTGCTTCTTAGATGGATTTTTTTTCAGTTCTTTCGGCTTTTTGGTTTTTCACTGGTCATTCTTAGCTTTTCAACATAAAACTTTTATGCGAAAAAACGTGTCCTTTTGTTTCCGTGAGAGGCATGGCCGTGCCTCTCGCAAATGGAAAAAAATGTTTTTTTTCTTGAGAGGCACGATTTTACTTCCACGAGAGGCATGGCCGTGCCTCGCAAACGGAAAAAAGTGTTTTTTTGTTCCTTTTTTTCCTTTCGTGAGAGGCACGTTTTACTTCCGTGAAAGGCATGATTTTGCTTCCGTGAGAGGCATAATTGTGCCTTACCGAAAAAACGCGTGTTCTTTTTCTTTTCTTTTTTTAGAGGCACGATTTTGCTTTCACGGGAGGTACGGCTATGTCTCTCGGAAACAAAAAAAAATATGTTTTATTTTTTTTCTTCCAAGAGAGGCAGAGTCGTGCCTCTTGGAAAACAGCTTTCGGAAAAGAAAAAAAATGTTCCCCTAGTTCGTTTTTTTCTGAGAAAAAAGTTCGTCAAAACTTATCAATATGGAATCTACCTTTGAAAATCTCGACGCGAGGAATCCAACAGAGAAAACGATTTAAACGATAATACGTTTTGAATAAACAAGTCTATGAAAAAAGAAAACTCCCAGATTGCGACAACTGACACACATACAATGTGTCACTTGCCACAACCTATGAGGATGGAACTGACCTATAAAAAAAGTGAAGGGGAACGTAGCAGAAATTCAAAATTTTCCTACGTGTCACCAAGATCTATCTATGGAGAGACCAACAACGAGGGGAAGGAGAGTGCATCTACATACCCTTGTAGATCGTTAAGCGGAAGCGTTCAAGTGAACAGGGTTGATGGAGTCGTACTCGTCGTGATTCAAATCACCGATGATCAAGTACCGAAAGGACGGCACCTCCGCGTTCAACACACGTACAGCCCGGTGACGTCTCCCATGCCTTGATCCAGCAAGGAGAGAGGGAGAGGTTGAGGAAGACTCCATCCAGCAGCAGCACAACGGTGTGGTGGTGATGGAGGAGCGTGGCAATCCTGCAGGGCTTCGCCAAGCACCGCGAGATATGAGGAGAAAGAGAGGGAGGGCTGCACCAACGGGCAGAGATAGAATCACGTGTTATGTGCAGCCCCGGGCCTCACTATATATAGGGAAGAGGGAGGAGGGTGCGCCCCCTCTAGGGTTCCCACCCTAGGGGGTGCGGCAGCCCTAGATGGGAAAGGGGCGGCGGCCAAGGGAGGATTCCCTCCCCCCCGAAGGCACCTAGGAGGTGCCTTCCCCTCCTAGGACTCTTCCTTAGGGTTCCCCCTTCACCCTAGGCGCATGGGCCATGAGGGAAGTGGCGCCCCAGCCCACTTTGGGCTGGATCCCTTCCCACTTCAGCCCATGGGACCCTCCGGGATAGGTGGCCCCACCCGGTGGACCCCCGGGACCCTTCCGGTGGTCCCGGTACAATACCGATGACCCCGAAACTTGTCCCGATGGCCGAAATAGGACTTCCTATATATAAATACTTACCTCCAGACCATTCCGGAACTCCTCGTGACGTCCGGGATCTCATCCGGGACTCCGAACAACATTCGGTAACCACATACAAACTTCCTTTATAACCCTAGCGTCATCGAACATTAAGTGTGTAGACCCTACGGGTTCGGGAATCATGCAGACATGACCGAGATGTTCTCCGGTCAATAACCAACAGCGGGATCTGGATACCCATGTTGGCTCCCACATATTCCATGATGATCTCATCGGATGAACCACGATGTCAAGGACTCAATCGATCCCGTATACAATTCCCTTTGTCTAACGGTATTGTACTTGCCCGAGATTCGATCGTCGGTATACCGATACCTTGTTCAATCTCGTTATCGGCAAGTCTCTTTACTCGTTCCATAACACATCATCCCGTGATCAACCCCTTGGTCACATTGTGCACATTATGATGATGTCCTACCGAGTGGGCCCAGAGATACCTCTCCGTTTACACGGAGTGACAAATCCTAGTCTCGATTCGTGCCAACCCAACAGACACATTCGGAGATACCTGTAATGCACCTTTATAGCCACCCAGTTACGTTGTGACGTTTGGTACACCCAAAGCATTCCTACGGTATCCGGGAGTTGCACAATCTCATGGTCTAAGGAAAAAATACTTGACATTAGAAAAGCTTTAGCATACGAACTATGATCTTTGTGCTAGGCTTAGGATTGGGTCTTGTCCATCACATCATTCTCCTAATGATGTGATCCCGTTATCAATAACATCCAATGTCCATGGTCAGGAAACCGTAACCATCTATTGATCAACGAGCTAGTCAACTAGAGGCTCACTAGGGACATAATTGTGGTCTATGTATTCACACGTGTATTACGATTTCCGGATAATACAGTTATAGCATGAATAAAAGACAATTATCATGAACAAGGAAATATAATAATAATACTTTTATTATTGCCTCTAGGGCATATTTCCAACAGTCTCCCACTTGCACTAGAGTCAATAATCTAGTTCACATCGCCATGTGATTAACACTCACAGGTCACATCGCCATGTAACCAACATCCAAAGAGTTTACTAGTGTCATTAAACTAGTTCACATCATCATGTGATTAAGACTCAATGAGTTCTGGGGTTTGATCATGTTCTGCTTGTGAGAGAGGTTTTAGTCAACGGATCTGTAACATTCAGATCCGGATGTACTTCGCAAATTTCTAGGTCATATTGTAAATGCTGCTTCCACGCTCCACTTGGAGCTATTCCAAATGGTTGCTCCACTATATGTATCCGGTTTGCTACTCAGAGTCATTCGGATAGGTGTTAAAGCTTGCATCAACGTAACCCTTTACGCCGAACTCTTTATCACCTCCATAATCGAGAAACA